GAACCGATCGCACAATCCATTATCCGTGTGTGTGCGCGTGTGTGTCTGTGTGTGTGCGCATGTGGTTCCAGAAGCACAGTCCTCGTTTGTGGCTTGCTACCTCAATTTTGCAAGTCTCCGAGTGATATTAGAGTGCCTTTCCCTGTCAGGCATATACGCTCACCTCTAATCGAAATCACGCGCAAGGCATTGAGCAAAACGATGACTTTAAGGGCCTTGGGATGTACAAGCAATATCCTCATGCCAAAGAATTGCCTTACAGTAGCATGGTGCCAATCCTGGTTCCATGTCTGTGTGGGTGAGAATGACCCTACGCTGAATATTAGCGGAGCACTTTTTACTTTCAAACCCAGCCGCCTCCTTACTCACCTAGCCGCCAGTCATGCTGAGGTATTTGTCTCTTTCGCACCACTATCTGCCTGGGGCCCCAGCAAACTTAGCCTCAGACTTTCGTTTTAGGGTCCAGAGGGTTTGAGGTTTGGGGTGAAGTCAAGGGTGGTAGAGGAGTCATGAATTCAGAGTTTTCAGTGATGGAACATCCACTGCACAGCCAACCTGTTTTTCAACACGTAAGAGGGTGGTGCAGTAAGAGGGTGGTGCAGAATTTGAGGCAATTTCTGGGCACAGTTTCTAGTCGGCATGAAGTATTTGGCCGAGGTGTGGGACCCCTTCCCTGGAAATTGCTCATGATGGAAATCTTTCCGTACTTTTGATATGAAAGGTTCTTAGCATCGAATTCGCAGTTTCATACATTCTTGGCTACATTGTGTTATAGCCTTACAAGGTTTCCAGTGACACTTCAACAGCAGGTACCCATCATGGGGCCCCTGCGATGTGGTGCTGAACACATTATTTTTTCTACGAAGGGCAAACAGTGAGGCCATAAAGCGATAGATTCTGAGTCCCGACCTTTCTGCTGTGCTTACTACTGTCCTTAGGACCTAGGATCATTATCTTATCCGCTGTAGCTGTTGCACATTATTCTTATCAGCATGATGCCCACAGACTGTTGGTTCTTGCGGGTATAGAGGTTCCTGTCCACTGCTGTTGGCAAGTAGAAGCGGATTCTGCAAGGTGCGCTGTGTCGTGAAGGTACTTGGAGTAGGTATCTGATCTTCCTCGACCACCACTCTGCTGGCATCGCTTCCTAATCGAGACATGGGTCTTTGCACCTTGTTCCAAGGTACACTTCCAGAATCTGTGGTGGCCTGTCCCCACAAGCTTCCGAAGAGAATTCACACCACCCTTCTATGGAGCTTCAACCCAAATCATCCCCTCTTCGATGCTGCTTTGCGGAACGGACGTTGCAGTTCCGCTTCCTGAAAGTTGGCTTCGTAGTCCTTTCCTTTATTTTCTGTAGGCCTTGTCACGGCATTTGTTGAGAAGCACTGATCCTGGCATTCACCAGACATTGTTGTCAGGATGCGGCCCTCTCGTGCGAGATTTGCATCCACCAACTGCACAGATGAAGCATGTCTGCCAATTGCTATCATCATGATCATTCGTCTAGCTGTTACCGCGATTGTGCTTGTTTACGTGACTGCTGCCTTATTGTTGATATCGTGTGTGTGATTATACCATTTTTTCATCTGTGAGTTGCAGAGAGTTCTCATCATGTCAGTTTTTCATGCCGTGCAGATCATGGCTTGTGGCGAAGGGTGGAGGGCTGTTAAGTGTTGCCAGGTGTAGGGTTTTAGGCTTATGGGCTTTGGGGGGAAGGGTTTCAATCGCTGGGATGTTTTTCAGGGTGCAAGAAGTCGAGCTCGGAAGCGGTCAAGAAATAATCGGACACATGGATGCTTAGCATGATGTCCAAAACCGCAAAGGGTTAGCGGGTCAGATCTGTTGAGGCGGAGCACTGCCCCAATCAATTTGCTTGATAAGTGCTTGTCTGAGCTTCTGTCCGGAGGAGCTTTGGAGGAGTGGGGCTATGTAGGAGAATGGACAAGAAAATGGCAACTACTATAATGGGTTATATAGGGTTTAGGGTTCAGGGTGAGGTTGAGGCGCGAAGGGAATGAAGGGATGGAGAAGCTTATGTTCTCAAGCAAATCCTCGATAGGGCATGTGATGGAAGCTTTGCAGTCAGCTCAACTTCAAATTCTTCTCCAAAGATCCTGCCCTTTCACCGTATTAGCTGAAGGGCTGCTTGATGAGAAAAGGAACACGTGTACAATATACTTGGTCTGCAACATGCTGTTGAGGTAAGTTTTGATTCAATGCCAGGACATCGGCAGGGACGACCAAACAAAGCTTAGGACGCGTGGGGTTATATAGAGTGAGTGGAAAAGAACAGGCAAACTACTATAATGGGTTATATAGGGATAGTGGAAAAGAAAATTGAAACTAGTATAACAGGTTATATAGGGCTGCTGGAAAAGAAGATGGACGTACTATAATGTGTTATATTGGATTTAGGGCGTGTCTCCAACTCTGGATTCTTTCTTGACGCTCCTGCGACAGGATGGGGATTCCAAAAATTACCTTCTTGGGGGTCCCTATAATAATAATAAGGATTATAGTATATTAGGGTCTACATTGGGGTCCCCCTCTTTTTAGACAACTACCAAGAATTCCATAACTGAAGGCTGATAGGGAAGCCCAGTTTTGAGAAAGCCCAGGTGGATTTGGGCTTCCGCGACCTTTGGTGGCGGCTGTTTGGAGATGAGAAAGGCAATCTCACCGACTCCTGGCTGGAGAGTTGGGGTGTTAAACGGGGGGAGAGTGCGAGTTGATGCGTTACCGTTTGCCAAGCTGTTCGGGCACACCCTCAACCCTAAACCCTAAAGCCCTAAATTCCTAAACCCTAAAGGTCCTAAACGGGAATGCTCCTAAACCCTAAATCCCGGGCGTAATTCATATTCAGGCAGCTTAGGCTTGGGCCTGGGAGCGCTGAAGTAGTCTCAGGTGCCCCTAAACCCTAGACCTTAAACCCCAAACCCTTAAGACCCAGACCTTAAACCATCAAAGTCTGGACTCTAAACCCCAAACTCCGAAGCCTAAACCGGTTGAAGTTTGGCTTCCCCCTACCTGGAGAGATCTCGGAGAAATCCTTTTTCCTGTCTTCAAGGCTGCACCATGCCTTCGAGCAAGCCAAACAGATATTGCTATTACTATTAATATGTTGTTATTACTGTTGTTATTAGTACTATTACCACTATTAATATTGATTTTAGTATTACTGGCTAGTAGCTACAGTTTGGGATTCAAGGCTGTGTGCTGTTTGACAGGCAGGTTCTATGCTGTTTCGCTTTGTTGGAGATTGAAATGCTCATAGTCTTCCACAGGGTCCTGGGGACAAATATCGCACAGTACTGCAGGCAGATATTATGCTGCCTGCAGTTTACAGCTATTATCGCTTGCTGCGAAGGCATAGCAGATCTACGAGCACCCTCCTCGACGTTGGCCAGCTAACTGCCAAACGTACAAAAAAAGCACGTGCTCTCTGAAGCATGTGTGATTCAGAGGTCGCGGCTGCAGAGTCGCTGAAGAGAGAGACCTCGCAAGAAACTACTTTACAAGCAATTGCTTGTGCTCATGCCCGGAGTAGTCCTTTAGGACATCTCTGGCAGGCAAGGCTAACCAGAGGACGTGATTTTGGAATCATTGAGGGAGGCGTTGACTGGTGTCCTCTGTTTGACGAGTGTAAGCAGCTTGTCATTCGAGCTTTCGTGTCGATGGGCAGCACATCTAACCTGTGGATTGCATGACATGTGACAACATGTCGTGGGTGTTTTTGGATAGTACAGATAGATCCTGTGCTAATAAATTGTAATGGGCTTGCGGCCTTGGTCAGTGCAAGGATTCTGTTGATAAGGAGGCTTTGTGAGATGTTTTGCTTAACTGCACCCTAAGAGGAACAACTTCTGAGGATGTGTAAGTGGTAGTTTCCAAAAATGAGGGGAACCAATGTAGACCCCAATATATTACGATCCTTATTGTTGGGACCCCAAAAGGTACCCCTGATTTTGGGAAACTCTCAAGTTTCCAAGCAACAAAGAGCAACTGACGGAAAACCGTTGCCGTGCTAGTGTAAATTTCTTAACAGCCTGTAAGATCCCCTCAAATCCGTGCAAACGTACCGAGGAAGGATGAAGCTTATTCTAAATATTTCATAATGTAATATCAAGAACAATGGCAATAGTAGGAATAGTCAAATTCTAGCAATAATAATAGTATTCCGTGGAGCCCCAATAGAGATCCCAATCTACTCTAACCCTATTATTTGCCTATTATACTCTGCATGACCCCTATTTTTTTGGCCGTGCATTTGCAATCCTCAGGAGACTTCGGACTTCGGCTTCTACTGCTGCTCACAGCTCTTTGGATTTGACGGACTGTAAGTGACCATTGGGTGATGCTTGCGCAGTTCAGTATGTAGGGAATCATAATGTTTGGTCCTTTTTCGAAAGTCGTTGCAATATTCCCTCAGTATGATTTTGGTGCCATGATGATTGCCATCATGCTTAGGATTAAGATTGTACTGCTTCAGACGTAAACTTGTCTCGGGGGGAGTCGATAGTCCTGCCTGGCAGCTGGTTTTGATCATTGAAATCATATGGCAGTCTCCAACAATCAGGAATCACCCTAACATAGCCCTGACATAACCCTAATACAACCCCAACATAACCCCAACATAACCTTAATGTAACCCTGATATTGCCCCAACGGGTGCAAAAATACCAGAGCATGGGGATGCCTTAACAGAGGCCCCTGCAAGGCGGATCACCGATTTTCGGAGGCTCTTAATTTTTTTTCGGACTACCCGAAGCCCTAAACCCTCAACCTTCTAATCCCTAAAACATGAAACCCATGTCCTGCATGAGGTGGTGCCACTATCCAGGGGAGGAGTCCAGGGCAGTTTTGGTTTTGGTTGCAGTTGTCGTCGTTGCTCTGCTTTCTCATGGTTGTTGTTGCCTGTGGTGTTGGTTTTGTTGGCGTATGTTGTGGTGAGTGTTGTTTACGCAGTTTAGGCTGCCAGGGTTTTTTCGTGCTCTTGTGTATCACGTGGCCTGCTGGCTGTCGTGCTTATGCAGCTGGCACTGTTGCCCCCGCTGGGCTTCCCGCATCCTTTGCCGGGATCCCAGGCAACCCAGAAAACCCCAAACACTAAACCCCCAAGCTTTTCTGATTGCTGGATGGGAGGAACAGGCGCGCCTCTAAAGAAACAAAAACCCCCAAAACCTAAAGCTCTTACCTTTGAATCAAGTCTCTTGGTCAGAGCCCCAGGCCCAAGGTCCCACTTAGGGTTAGGTTAGGTACTGCGCCCACCCAGTAACAGTTGGATGATAAGTATAGTGCAACATATACATATATATATATATGTACATATATATATATGTATATTGAGATAGATGTGTATAGATAGCCCTTACCATCAACCCTAATTATAGACTGTGACTGGGTGCGGGCAGTACCCAAGGTTTAGGGTTTGAAGGCAGAACCTTTACCTTTCCTTGATTTGCGTTCGCCCTCAAGGTTTCTGGTCCACAAGGATGCTGTACGACGGCGACCAAAGTCCTGGTATGAGGTGCCCGCACTCAAATGGATGGCCGGGGTCACCCGAATATTGACATATATATGTATATACATATGTTATAGCAAATAGTCAGTTTCCTCAGAGTGACAACTTTTGTAATTTGTCAGTTCCTTAGTGCACTCCCGTCGAGGCTCAGACTGAGCTTGAGGGGATCAGGGATAAATCTTTAAGCTTGTGAGATTCTGACTTCGAGGCTAGAGGCCTCAAAGCTATATCCTTTTTCAAAAGGATCACCCATTAACCCCAAAGACTTCAAACTTACAACTACTTGTGGTCTCGTCTTGTTGGAACCAGTTAATGGCTAAGGGAAGTAGTTGAGGGTATTTGTACTTGTATCCAGGTTGCTCCTCCCGTACGTAAGCCACCAACACATGCATATGGTGTGCTATGAGAGTTTTGATGGAGTCATTGATTCACTTCAGGGTGCTCACTGGATTTGGGGGCTTAGTGCAACTTCGCACTGGGCAACGGGATACGCATGAGAGTGAACCTCGAATTCTAGACTGCTTGGCTGCACGCCATATTGACAACGTCATGGGAGTTAAGCAGCCGCAAGGTCCTTTGGAAGAGGAGGAAGCCCCCCGATTTGGGTTCAATTATAATAAGAGTAGTAAAAATAGTAGCAACGATAGTAATAATCGCAACAATGTCAAGCAAAAGACTAGTACTGATGATTGTTGGGCCTGTTTCGGCGAAGGCCGCTGTCGACAGCGTCGCCTGGGAGCATTGTGCAACTAGCTACATGGAGTTGCTTTGGCTGCCAGGCGTGAATCTGGTACGTTTTAGCGTTTAGGTTTAGCACCAGATTCTAGAGTCAAGGGTTTAGGAGTGTTGTGTTGAAAGGCAAAGAGTTCACCATCTCTTTCAGACATTGGCATTTTCCGGAGATGCCAGAAGCTTCCGTTGTATGATGGTTCCATTCTCGGAAGTGTTCCACGGAGACCTTGACACAATGCTTGAACATCTGAATCTTGCATTGCGATTCGGGCATTGCAGATCCCAAGTGGAACGTTGACATCAAGCAAGGCACGGCATCTTTCTGGAGTCCAGTCCCGCCACCCTAAATCCCTTCAAGGGATTCTTGATGTTCTTGTCCGCCCTCGCAAGGTGCTTCTTCTCACGTCTGGCTGGGAATGAGCTACCTGTAGATTTGTTGCTGGTTCGTTGAAAAGAGCAGATCTCCATGGTAGTCGTTACTGCACAGTCCTTGTAACACATTCCTTCTTACAGTCGGACATCCGTCCTGAGCCGGCCATAAATGAAAAGCACCAGGTTTTACCTGACCTCACCACGGACTGAACCTTGTTGTAAGGAGCTGTGCTCGATGTCGGCAACTAATCTAAAGTCGACACATGTTCCAGACTTATTCCCGAGCTCTAGAATCCTCCTTTCGACCTTCGCTACCTGATGGCCTAGGACTCTTCTTTTTCAAAATCATAATGTCCCGTACCCCTTGTAAACCCTACACAAAATCTGTAAAGCTCGACTGGATCTGCTCAAATCCCCGTGAGGTCGTGGTGAGCGCTTAAACTTGCAAAACCTAATGCAGACCTCATGTATATAGGATCTCCCATCGCTGAACATTTGAGGTTTGAAGAAGCAGCGCAGAGAATTTGACCTTGGGTCGTAAGCATGCCAAAATAGGTAACGAGTCTAGTTTAGTTATCTGAGTTATAACTGTAGTTATGATTAACCCTAGTCCCTAAACCCTAATCCCCAAACCCTATATATACCCCCTATATCCCCCTTTAAGGGTACCCCTAATGGTGGGAAACCCCTAGAGAGAACCCAGGCATGGAATCTTCTCTTCAGGCGAGCTCCATGAGCGGAAGCGACAGGATCCCCGAATAGGATTTAGGGTTTAGGGCTTAGGGTAGACAATGGGACATCGAATGGAAAGGCAAACCCCAAACCCTGAAAAATGGGCAATGGTTTTCTTGGTGGTTCTCTGCATGGAACGAAGCAATGAGCGGGCGGGCATACTTAAGCGATTCATTCCTCCAGTCCCTTCTAAAAAGACAAAAGACAAGTAACATCAAGGGATTAGGCCTGGGGTTTGTTGAGGGTTTTGGTTTCAGATGTGTCTTCGTACCACTAGTGCCGATATGGAGCGAGGGTGGCATCTAAGGTCTGGGCAGGGGCTCGTTCCATTTTTGGGCGATTGAAGTCGTTGTTTCTTCATCAGGGATGGCAAGACGCCATATGATGAAGGTTGCCTGTTAGAAGCTTCAAAAAGTTGAGAATAATCCGCCCACACGAATATTGTTTTTGCATGCGCAGGTCGACTTTGAGCATTTGTTTTCGCAAGTGGCTATTATGCGCCAACATCAAGATTCCCAAAGTACCCCGCATGATAGCACGAGGCATGGCACAAGGACACACATACCGGGGGAGACCCTTTCTTGGAATGCCTACAGTAAGCCATGAATTGCAGCAAGGGTGAAGAATGTAAGGGTTTGCAGTAGTGTCAATAGCTAGGAGCTTCGCTCCCCAATGTGAGGCTGCTGATCAGCTTGACCCGAAGGAGTTCACCAGAGGGGTGTAGTGCTTCCTGGGTATGATCTGTTGGGCGTTACTGTCAAAAAGCGGGCAACAAATGTGGATATCAACGATTTAAGAAAAAGAATTGACAAGGTTTGACGGCTTAGGCTTGTAACTGTCAGCAAAAACCATGAAGTCAGGACTTGTGTTTCTGGGATTGTGACTTATTGCAACTTGTTTTTTCCCTGGGATTATTGCTGTCAAGAAGGTCGTCAGAACTTTCAAGACTGAATTTCTGTTTAGAAATTTGGCCAGCCTTGCATCAGTTGTGAGGAGAGAGCGGAGCTCCCCTTGTTCCTCAAGGTGGAACCCTGGCTGAATTGAGTACTGCGCCCTAAACCCTAAACCCTAAACACTAATCTTCAAATCCTCAACCCTAAACCGCGTTGCTCAATGAACGGCCCATGTGCTGTGGATGGTCATTGGAATTTGAAGTGCCTTCGCCACCCAAAGCCCTTCTGATATGACTTTGTGACACTAACCTCAAGGCCTCTGGCTGTCTCAATATTTCTGTCTTCGTCGTCCAAACCCCTGAAGTGCCAAATCCCACGTGCACTATTCTCCCCATATGTCCACGGGTTCCCCAAGGGCTACCTATTTTCGGCCTGGGCGCATGTCTCTGTGTGGTCTGCAGCTCAAGCACTGAGGCAGGATGTGCGCTAGACGATAGTGCTTACAACAAACTTTTGAGACAATGCAAAAGCCCAGCATTCTTCGCGAGTCGCAAGAGCAAGGGCAGCACATTGGCAATGGTACTAGAGATGTGCAAACAATGGCTGCCGTGACTGTCTCGATTCTTTTTCCTTAGCCATGTGTGTTGATTCCGGATTTGGCCCATTACTACATGAGTACGTAGTCACACTGCTTATGGGGTTCTTTCATGAGAAGGGATTTTTCTACCAAGCATGAAATAGCCAAAAGGACCTCGATAGTATTGAGGTCCTACACAATACTCAGGCTTGCACTGTTGCATGGCAGAATCCAGTTATAATTCAAGCCACGGGGTGATGAAATCATCACCCCAGCGTGCCTGCTGCTTGAAGTCCAGGAGGGTGGAGGGCATCAACGATTGTCGCAAGCACATGGTCCTACATCTGCATTAAGAAGAGGCACAGGGAAGGAGGGGGAGGAGAGGTGGGGAAGGGGCGGGCAGGGAGGCAGGACGCGCACGCGGGCCACACTTTTAAGGCCAAGCAGTCACTTGAAACTGACATGCTGGATGCCCCAGCGAATTTATCATTTGCTTCTAGGTTCCATTCCTTGCTGGCGTTTGCCGCTGCTAAAATTGTTCTTGCCATTCCTGGATGTTCCCATTCTTCTACATGTCCCCCTTCTGCACGCTCTTCAGTATCAACACCCGCAGAAGCGGCGGCAGCAGCTGCTGCAGCAGCAGCAGCGGTGGTCATGATGCTCATGATGCTGGTTCTGCCGCCACCGCCCATGCAGAGACCACAGCACTTGGTCTCCGGCTCTTAGCGCGAGAAATCCATGTGCTTGTCGGCTTGATGCCTTTGAAATTTGGGTAACATTGCTTTCTCAAGTAAAGATGCTTCGGCTGACCATCAGCGCCTGCTGATCTTGCGTACAGCACTTCGGCGGCTGCAGAGTTTTCCAACAACGCATGAGGCATCAAACTCAAAATCCTGAAGCCCCGGGACTGCACAAAGTCCGAGCCACTGCCAACCCCAAGCTCGTTGCAGGGCCTTTAACCGAAACCCATAATCCTCAGAGCCTGAGGCAACCTATAGACCCTAGAGCTCTGGTTCAAACCCCAGAAACTCTACACAGAACACTGAGACCTTAACACATGATCCCCTGCCCAGGATAACTTCCTTGAGTCGACATCGGACGGCCTGGTGTAAGGCAGAAAAAAAATGGAGGGTTCAGGACACGAGATGAGAGGTTTGAAGATTGCACGGTGTGGGGCATGGGGTTGAGTTTCTAGGGTACTCTAATGTTCTTGAAGACCATGGTGAAATTTTGCTGCCGATGATCCTCGGGTCTGTCAGACTTGTTCCTTTTGGAATCTCGGGATGGCTGAGTGTTCATTGGTTTTGTAATCCTTGTACTATCCCGTAGATGTAGCTTTGTCATATACTACCTGACACTGCCTTTGAAACGAACGCTTCGTTACACGTTGCGGCACAGGCTGTGAGGGCTCGGATGTGTGGCCAACTATCCGTTTCAGATGGCAATCATTCTCAGAATGAACATGAGCCAGAACAGAACTTGTTGGGCAGAAAGAAAAGAGCAAAAGCCATATTTTCTAACATCCCAAATCGTCCGTGTTTGCTCTTCCTGTGCTACTGATTTTATTGAGGCAGGCCGTTGATATGAGATTGTGATGTCTCTTGCTGTTGTAAGAGATTGGAGACCATCAACATGGACCTCATTCCTGCAAACTCATGCTGGGTTTTCTTCTGTGTTGCCAGGAAGTGCAGTGCAGGAGCTGGGGGAGCCTTGGGAGATATTAGGGAAACAAGGGATATTCACCCAGCTTCCCAGCATTGTTTTGAGTTCCAAGCGGCGATCCTCCATGAAATGACCCTCACCCTCCGCATCGCCGGGGCGTTGCTCGATTCAGCTGAAGCTTTGAACAGGAACTCCCATGCGTAGACTTCTGGGACGATCTGCGCTGGCATGCGTTTCCAAGGACAAACGATGTGTTGTAAAGAATACGCCAAGCAAGACTCACAAATACTGCAAACCCGATTCGGTTAAACCTGCGTCCAACCCTACAGCATGGGAAGACTTTGAGCGTAACAAAGCTTTAGTTCCAACGATCCCATGCAACGCCCCATAACCAAGACACCCGCTCCACACTGAAGCATGACAACACCTGACATGTGCAAGGCAACTGAGACTAGTTTGGACAGCCAGCAGCTTTTCTGGCCCCTTCTGGCATGCAGTTTTTTGGGTAGGCAGAAGCAGACCTAAAGCACAAGACACCCCAGGAAGTTGACTAGCTGTCACTATTTGAAGGTTTGGGCTGACCTCCCGTATAACCTTAAACCCTAAGCCCATTTAGTAACCAAGGGCTCAGGTCATTGACCACGGAGCCATGGCCTGGGCTAAGCTTGCACGATGCCTGCTTCCACTGCTCTGTTTCTTGGGCCAGAATGAGAGGCAAATGGGCAAGGACATGGAAAACGACAGTTTAGGATGGGAATACAAGGATATGTAGGGATATTACCCTTCGAATGGAAAGTCGCATGGAGGAGAGCATGGCAAAGTAAATTGAAGCTCGGGGGGTTTAGGGTTCCTAATTTAGGGTTTTAAGGTTCCGAATTTAGGGTCTAGGGTGTCCCAGCTGAGCTTTCCGAGAAATGAAGCCAAATGAAGTCAGGAGCTGTTTTGGCGCTTTGGCTTCAACATCTGCCTGCGGTGAACGACTATGAAAGTTGCTAATGATTGTAAGGACCAGAGGACTTGCCAGATGATGGCAGCGTTCACCAGTCTTTTTGGGAATGAGGGGATTTAGTTTTCCTAACCTCTATAATGAGAACCCTATGGCTATCATAGGACTGTACTAGAGTCCTTAAGTTGGGTTACCTTCAAGCCCCTTGTTAGTCTAGTCTTTCTGAAGGCAGAGGAAGTATTCAAGTGTTAGTTCATTGAATTTTGTTGGGTAAGGGATGTCAATCTGCTTGTCCCTATTGCTAAAGCTATGGGGCTCCAAATCCCACGATCCAGCAAATGGTGGCCCAGGCTTCGGCTCGGTTGCAGTTGAGAGGCAGCCTTTCCTCAGTGGCAGCGAGGATCCTTTTGCTGAACTTGCCTTGGGGATAATGGAAACTACTATAGTGGGTTATATAGGGTATATTAAACAAAATGGGTTGAGGGACTGCTGGATTGTTGGGTTTGAGAAGTTAAGGCTAGTGTGCGTTCAGTGTGTTGGGACTTTGTCGTTTAGGGTTTGAGATCTCGGGAGTTAAGGTTCTGCTCTCGCTCAGCCATAGCGGTAGCAACAGGCAGAAAGAACTATGTGGACCCTAGCATACTTATCGTTATCTCTTGTGGCCACCACTAACTAGTGCCCAACCTACGGTATGGTAGGCAATTCAGATCTTGGATTAGAGTATCAAAACTAAACCCTTCGTTGAACGCGTGGAAATTCTGCGCCTGAGAGAATGTGAACATTTGCTGAATCACCAAACTGGGACACCCATAACTTCAGATATCTAAGGTTCTTATGCTTGCTGGTGCTTAAATAGTTTTTCAGGCTTATCTTAAGGATTCACTCCCCCTCCTGCCCTTCAACACAAGCCAGTTGAAGGTTTATGTTGGCTTCTCATCACTCTTCCAGGGTCGACATAGTCGGTTGAAATTACGCCAGCAGTTAGGACACCCTTTGGTAAGTTCGCATACGACATGCATAACATCTTGAAACAGCATAGGCTCATTGCATCAGATTTCGTAGGAAAGGGCAGAAGAAAAACATGTAGATTCCGATTTTTGCGTAAAGATGTAAAACATTGCGCTGCGTCAATCGTCTATATCCGCAAAAGGAGGGAGGTGAGCCAGCACAGGAACTGGATTCAAGTTTCACTGCCGCTGCTGTATCTTGCTGTCAGTATGCAAGTAAGGAATGGAAAGAAACATGTAGACGACTACATTATTGGAGTATAGGGATCCATTCCTCCATTCCCTACTATCTTTTCTCAAGCCCATGTAAGTAGTTTTTTGAATAGGGTTGCTATTTTCGTCAACGTAAAGCAAGCTCATATCCTTGTTGGGTTCAGCAGTTGGTATCAAAATCTAATGTTAATGGGTTCAACAACCAGTTTGGATTTTCCTAAACCCTACCCTGGGTTTCGTCGCAAGCCCGAAGCCTAAACTTCTTCAATGCCGAGCCTTGTTCTAGGAGCTTTTGCAAGTTCAACTGAAAATTTTCCATGGTAACACCTGCAGAAAAATAATGGGCGTGCCCTTACATACCCGCGAGTCTTTAGTAGCATCCTTGTTTACCCACCCGGGAGAATCCCTTAGCAAGAAGCCCTAGGTTTGAGGTTTTTGGCCAGGTCTTGCCTTAGTTTACATTCTCAGGCCATGCAGTGTAAGCTTTCGAGTTTGAAAATTAGACGGCAAGGGCTGGCATTATTAGATGTTTATCGAGGTACCCTATGTCATGGCGTTACAAGGAGTCATAATGTTACAGGGAATCCAGGACCACAATGTTCGTAATGATGCAGTCACTTGCAAATCTGCAAGGTCGCCAAGAAGCACTTTTGTCATCATGTGTTGTCAGCTCCAGATTTTTCCAACGGTAGACCAGAGGGCCTAAGCCTTCAGGATTCAAGTTATGGGGTTTGGACTTTATTCTCGCCATTAGCCTTTGCAATTAAAACCTGGAGCCTGGACTTCCGCTTCAGGACCTTGGGGATACTGCACAGACATGCAACGTCGATGCTGTACAGGCGCGCAGCCGGTTGTAGTATGAGAGGGGCCCCAACCATTGGTGTAGCAAGGGTTTCGGAATTTGGCTTTAGGCGGATTTTCTATTGTTCAGGAATGAGGTTTATGTTGTACATTTTGTTTCGGGGGTCAGGGCATTTTTAGGCTTTGCCTTCGCTTTCTTTGAATCCCACTTACCTGGTATGAGTTCAGGGTCAGGGGCTTCCCGGAGAAGTGTGACCTACTCGGCAAGTGATGCCAGACTTGTTTCTGTGATGCCAAACTCTTCCTAGATACCTTTCGCCCTGAAGCCTGGTAGACCCTGCGAAGCCAGCACCCTCACCCCAAAGCCTGAGATGAACATCCGAAAAGCTCGAGAGAGAGCGCTGAAAGCCAAATGCTGCTGAATCTGGCAAACCTTTTGCGCCCTGAAGCTGGATGTCGTCGACCTGGTGTTGGAATCTGTATGTCGAAGTTCATGGGCTCAAGTCAAAACCCTGAGAGCCCTAAAAGCCTGATCATTGAGCCTTGAATCCCGGAAACCTGAGCCCGAGGTCTTGAGCGCTCGCATACCTTGGGCCAAAAGGGGAGAGAGGGTCTGGATCCATATCGTAGTCCTTATGGTATGTTTCTACCTGCACGAGCATATAAGCATACACATATACACGCCCTTTAACCGTGCCTATGTTGACTCACCCGCTCCATGGCAAGCAACAGTAAGATTCTAGGATATTGGCTGCTTGCCACAGTTGAGTAGTATATCATCTGCGGATACTATGCGAGAACCGAAATCCGTGAATAATACGACGGCACCCAACATAGAGTAAGGTTATATCGTCCTTCTGATTATAGTATTTCATATGCAGAATAGAATCTTGATCGTTCAACTGCCCAAAAAAAGCTACTGACTTGGTGTGAGGGCGTGAGCCAATGCTCTGACGAAATGAGTGCCACAGATGCCATGCAATGCACGGGACTAGAAAATTGCCACTACATCGCGGAATTCCCAAAACCCTAAACCTCCGTGCAAGTATAATGCAAGGTTCTTCAAGCAGACTTCGAAATAATATTGCTAATCCTTCAGGCCTATCACATAATCCCCCTGCATGCGACCCCTATGGAGAGTCCAGTTTCTATCTATTTTGCACTTTATTTTCCATTGCGTTCTCAGTTGTTGTATCTTCCCAGAATCATCTATATTCATATGTAGCTGAGATTTTCGTACACTTTCTTGGAGGGGACTCTAGCTCGTGATGGGCTTCGGTGTTGAAAGAGGGGTTTCCAAGAATTATGGGGGGTCTTTATCAAAAGGATGTTAGTATATTGGAGTCTATGTTGGGGTATCCCCATCCATGGAAATCCCCAAGCTCATGTGGGAATCAGCTGTTGCAAAGTCCTCGCGCAAATTCATGAAGCTAACAGATCAATCAACCCAGTCCTCATTCAGAAAGATGTCTCAAGAAGAAAG